GAAGAGAGGAACGAAGAAAAGAGGGGACAGGGGACAGAGGGCACACTGGGCTCTGAGAGAACCAAGAGGCCAAGGACTCCCAGGCCTCAGGAGCACTCTCCAGCCCACCTCCCAGCTCAGGCCAGCAAGCCCTGCAGGTCTTCTCACACCTCAGGAAAACCCAGCCCAGCACCTGGGTGCAGGGACCCTGGGCTCTGGAGCCCGAGAAGCTGGATGTTCAGAGCTAACCCTCTGGGGAAAAAGGGATCAGGCCACCCTCAGGTTCCCCACTTGTAAAAGGACAGATTCAGGGGCTGCTGAGAGTTTTAACATGCTCCATGGGGCCTCCTAAGGCAGCCTGGTCCTGCGCTCACGGGGAAGGAGTAAGGAGAGGAAAGCATCCTGGGTGAAGGTGGAAGGGGCTTGGGTCTGCACCCCTGACCCACCTCCAGGCCAAGGCACCACATCCATGGAATCCCAGCTGGGGCATCCGTCCCCCACACCGCACCACAGGCACAGGTCCCTGGGGAGACCCTCACAGGGACTCTGGGAGCCTGAGCAGAAACCTTCCCTGGACCTTGTCCTCCCCCTTGCCACGCATGTCGGGGTGTGGTGGGCACTAGTCATCTGGCTGGGGGGGCTCGACAGCGGCCCAAGGGCAAGGCTACAGCACAACCATCACCCACGGCACCAGTCCTGCCTGGTCCCCCCACCCCACCTCCCAGGGCCTTCAGGACAGGCCTGCAGTGAATGCGGCTGTCTCCCGCCTTCCTTCCAACCACAACCCCCCAGAAGGAGGAGGACAAAAAGCTGGGGTGGGGGGATATTGAGGGTCACAGAAGAGCCCACCCACTCAGCCTGCAAGTTGGGACCAGGAACTCCGACTGATTAGGGGCGCCCCCACCCTCACCCTCAGAGTTCCGCCTCGGGCCTCTTTTACTCCCAACTTGGAACAGCAAAACTTCCAACCCCAGGTGGGGAGGCGGAAAAGGAAGGCAAGGCTCAAGGAAACTTCTCACGGGGCCGAGGTTTCCTCTGCACTTCCCTCTGGTGGAGCCTGCGGAAACCTCCTCTGCCCCCGCGGGCGGGCAGTCCTTCTCAGTCGGAAACTGAAGCCGGTCTCGGCTGGGTGTACGGGTGGACAGGAAGCGCCTCGGCCAAGGGCACCAGCCCCCGTCCGCTCCGCGACCCCAGCCGAGGCGGCAACGCCCCCACCCACCAGCGGCCCCGCCCTGGGCGAAGTCCGCGCGGCCCCTCACCCAGCGCAGCGGCGGGGGCGGGTGAGTCAGTTCCCCACCCCCCGGGTGCCCGACTCCGCGGTGGCCCTGGGGTGCCGGCTCCACACCTTGGGAGGCCGCGCCCCCACCTGCTGCATTTCCTGGCTCTGAATCACCCCTCGCTCAGAACGCTTGACTTTGGGACTTCCTGTCCGCACTCGCAGCCCGGGGACCTGCCCCCCGAGTCCCGGAGTGCGGGGCAGGAAGGAGGGAGGGCTGTGAGTGGGCAAACTGGCCCGAAACTCCCCGCGAGCTCTCCTGCCCGACTGGAGGCATCGCGGGGCGTGGAGAAAACTTCAGGGGGCTGGGGCTTCTGCAAGGGTGTCCCCGCCGGCCGAAGAGCCCCTCCCCAAAGTGAGTGGCCTCCACAGAAACGCCTTCTCCACAAAATCGGGGCAAGCGGTTTAGCGAACTCAGGTCAACACGAAGCTGAGCCCGCCGGAACGACCCCCGGACGAACTCCTGATCCAAGAGACCCCCGCGCCCCCGCCGGGACGCGTTCCTGAAGCCTCGTGGCCGGCGCCGAGTCCCCTTCTCTGCGGCCTCTGAGCCTCGTGCGCCAGGGCCCCAGCCTCTTAGTCCTAGGAGCGCCTACAGCCCCGAGTGGGCTGGGGCGGGGGTCCCAAACTCTCCCGGCTCGCAGCTTGCGAGCCCTCCGGACCTCAGCACGCAGGGACTGGAGTTTCCGAAGTGGCGCGCGGGGCTCGGGGCGGAGCAGGGATCGGGGTCCGGCCGCGCGCGCTTACCTTCCTTGCCCTGGGCCGCGGAGGCCGCGGCCAGCGCGCAGCCCCACAGCAGCGCGAGGCAGGCGAGCGGCGCCCGACGCCCCATGCCGCGCTCCTCGCTCTCCGCCCGGCTCCGCGCCCCGCTCCGCACGCCCGCCCGCCGGCCCCGGTCCGCCTCCCGCCCGCAGCTTCCTCCTGCCCGCCGGAGAGCTTAATGCGGGCGGAGAGCGGACCGGCCCCTGTCCATTCATGCCCGGGTGACGTCACGGGCCACGCCCCCGGTGTCTCCGAAGGGGCCGGGCCGGCGCCCCGCGGGGGCGGGGAGGCTCTCTGGGCCCTCGGGACTCGCTGGCGCCCCCAGGTCCTCGCAGGTTTGAGCTCCTCTAAGAGGCGGTGCAACCGATGCTAGCCTTAAGGGATCCTGTGCTGAGCCCCGCTCTAACCCTCTGCCACCGGGGCCGAGCTCAACACTGGCCCAAAGGTCTGAGCTGAAATGGCCTAAAGGCTCAAGAAGCAGTCGCCCGCTGAGCAGCTTGACGTCCCGCTTCCTAGTATTTCTGAACTGTGCACCCAACCTTTGGCGGTCAGAGAGAGCTTCTCTGCTCAGGCGCCTCTAAGAATTCAGGAATCTGAGTGCATCCGCGTCTAAGGACGAGTCAGACATGCGTTATCACTTAATTCTCCCCTGGGAGGTAGATGTCATTATCCCTGTCCGTATAGTCAAAGCTATGGTTTTTCCAGTAGTCACGTATGGGTGTGAGAGATGGGCCACAAAGAAGGCTGAGCACCGAAGAATTGATGCTTTTGAACTGTGGTGTTGGAGAAGACTCTTGAGAGCCCCTTGGACAGCAAAGAGGTCAAACCCTTAATATTCATTGGAAGGACTGATGCTGAAGCTGAAGCTCCAATACTTTGACCCCCCTGATGCGAAGAGCCATCTCTTTGGTAAAGATCCTGATGCTGGGAAAGATTGAAGGCAGAAGGTCAAGGGGATGACAGAGGATGAGATGGTTGGATGGCATCATTGACTCAATGGACATGAATTTGAGCAAGCTCCAGGAGATAGTGACAGGGAAGCTTGGCTTGCTGCAGTCCCTGGGGTCTCAAAGAGTTGGACAAGACTTTGCGACTGAACAAGAGGCGTAAACTAAGGCTGCAACAGCCTAAACAATATGCCCAGAGGTTGCACAGCTCTAAGGTAGAGAAGTGAGGATTTTAATCTGGGTTTATGGACTTCCCTCATAGCTCAGTCGGTAAAGAATCTGCCTGCAATGCAGGAGAACTGGGTTTGATTCCTGAGTTGGGAAGATCCCCTGGAGAAGGAAATGGCAATCCACTCCAGTATTCTTGGTTGGAAAATCCCATGGATAGAGGAGCCTGGTGGGCTACAGCCCATGGGGTCGCGAGAGTCGGACACGACTTAGCAACTAAACCAACCCAGTCTCTGCTTTAACTTCTGCCCATACTGGGAAAGGGTGGCCCGGAGGCTGCTGTGCAGAGCACCCCTCCCCACCAGCCGTGGAATGGTAGAATCAGTTGGTCCGTTTTAACACTTTGGAGGACACTGGCTTCCCTCCTGCTCCTTCAAGGAGCCTCTCTCCAAAGGTTCCTAGATGTGAGCTCATCGCCCCTCCTGACAGAAGTGCCTGGCATTAGTGAAACAAACGGGAAGTGTCCTGTCTCCTGCCTGACTACCTCTCCACCCACCACTGCCCGTTGCCCAACCCGCCACGTGGCCAGCCCAGCCCAGGAGGAGCTGCTGTAGCGGGCCTGGCTTCCTGGAAACCACCGCCCCCTCTGCCCACCTCCCCTCTCACCCCATCCTCTTCTTGACCCCCTGGACCTTCTCACCCAATAGCCACACTGGGCTACTCTGGTTCCTGGGTCCTCCCTGCCAGATGTGGACCTTTCGGCCTTGGAGCCCGCCCTTGGGAAGCGGGTTCAGACATCTCCCCAGGAAAAGGGGGGAGGGATTAATTACAGGTGTAGGGGCAGTATAATTAAAGCCTTTGACCAAGATAATGGGAGGAGAGTCTTGTCCTCTGAGAGCACGTGAGTGCGCAAGTGTCCGTGAGAGTATGTGGATGTGTGTGTGTGTGTGAAAGCATGTGTGGACAAGAGAGGATTTACATGTGACTGTAAGCGTGTCGTACTTGGCAGAGGTTGGGAACGTAACCTGTGGAGTCAGTCTATGAGTTTTTGGACATTTCACTTCTTGCAGGCTCTGTTTGCTCATCTAGAAGATGTATGAACCTACTTCAGAGGGTTATTGTGAAGATGAAAATAACTGTGCACGTTAACCTCAGAGGCCAGGACAACGGAAGGCGCTTCTTAAATCTCAGCTGTTATTATGGTTACACGTGGTTCAGCCAGAGGAAGCAGCTTCTGTGGCTGAGGGGAGGGGGCAGGAGGTGTTCACAGGGCCCTGTGGATGCCGGCGAGGGGTGTGTGTGTGTGTGTGCGTGTATGTGTGTGTGTTTGTGTGTAGTACATGGTATGCATAAGGGTTTTGCAGTTGTGTTGGACCTCTGGGTTATGGACATTGCATGGTGAACGTAAGGTTTCCGGTATGTTGTAAGACTGCACATGTTGTGTTGTACACCACTGCAGGCTCCGTATGCTGGATGTGCCTCCAGAAGATACTGTCCAAGAGGGCAGGGCAGTTTGTGGGAAAGAGCATCAGACACGTAGTTGGAATCCAGCAAACTTCTGCTGAACTTATGAACTGAGGAGTGAAGGAAGGGGTTGGTAAGGTGTGTGAAAGACCTTGCCGTGTTGTTCCCTCGTGCGGGATGTGTATGTTTCCTGGAACCCTCAGGCCGGCTGCAGGCAGGCCCTGCTGGCTGGGCGCTGAGTGCCTGGAGGCTGTGCCCAGCTGGGGGCTAAGAGCCTAGAGCTGCGTCTCATCTGTGACACAGGACAGAGCAGAGGCTTGTGGGCGGGTTGGTCAGCGGCCGGAGGGCGTGGGGCGGCACCTCGGCCTTTAGTCACTCACCTGCGACATTCCCTTTGCTTTCTTCCTGTCTGACCCTGAGTCCTTCCTGCTCTGCTGACTGGGTGCTGAGAAGGAAAGTTCTTCAGTGAGTCTTATAAAGCTCACCGAAAGGCGGTATTTATAGTGACATAATAAGCCCTAATGGAGATGGAATTACCCCATAAAGGCCCCAGAACGCCCGGCGGCCTGAGTGCCACTGCAGCGAGCAGGGCTTCTGCTGCAGGCAAGTGGGGCCCAAGTGAGTGTGTGTGTGGGTGTGTGTGTGTGAGAGTGTGAGTGTGTGTGAGAGTGTGTGTGTGGGGGGTGTGTGTGTGTGGGGGGGTGTGTGGTGTGTGTGGTGTGTGTGGTGTGTGTGTGTGTGTGTGTGGTTGNAGAGTGTGTGTGAGTGTGTGGGGGGGTGTGTGTGTGTGAGTGTGAGTGTGTGTGAGAGAGAGTGTGTGTGTGGGGGGTGTGTGTGTGAGTGTGTGTGTGAGAGTGTGTGTGTGTGAGAGTGTGTGTGTGAGAGTGTGTGTGGGTGTGAGAGTGTGTGTGAGAGTGTGAGTGTGTGTGAGAGAGTGTGTGTGAGTGTGTGGGGTGTGTGTGTGTGAGTGTGTGTGTGTGTGTGTGGGTGTGAGAGTGTGTGTGAGAGTGTGAGTGTGTGTGAGAGAGTGTGTGTGAGTGTGTGGGGTGTGTGTGTGTGTGAGTGTGAGTGTGTGTGTGTGTGTGAGAGTGTGTGAGACTGTGAGTGTGTGTGACAGAGTGTGTGTGAGTGTGTGGGGGGGTGTGTGTGTGTGAGTGTGAGTGTGTGTGAGAGAGTGTGTGTGGGTGTGAGAGTGTGTATCAATGTGTGAGAGTGGGTGTGAGAGTGTGTGTGAGTGTGTGTGTGTGAGAGTGTGTGAGTGTGAGTGTGTGTGAGTGTGGGTGGGTGTGAGTGTGTGTATCAATGTGTGAGAGTGGGTATGTGAGTGTGTGTGAGTGTGAGTGTGAGAGTGTGTGGGTGGGTGTGAGTGTGTGTGGGTGTGAGTGTGTCAGTGTGTGTGTGTGTGTGGGGTGTGAGTGTGTGTGTGAGTATGTGAGAGTGGGTGTGTGAGTGTGTGAGTCTGTGTGGGTGTGAGAGTCTGAGTGTGAGTGTGTGTGAGTGTGTGTGAGTGTGTGTGGGGGTGAGAGTCTGTGTGAGTGTGTGTGTGTGTGTCAGTGTGTGGGCATGTGAGTGTGTGTGGGTGGGTGTGAGTGTGAGTGTGTGTTTGTGTGTGTGAGTATGAGTGTGTGAATGTGGCTGCAGGGGTCTCACCTGCTAATCCCCCGTTTCAGCCCACCAGCCTGCTCAGGTGCTCACCTTTGCTAGGATTTATCGGGGGCGGGAGTGCTAAGGGCAGCCAGATGACAAAGGTAAACATTGAAACCACAGTCTCACCCATGAGGGAAGCACTGTTCCTGCGTCCTTTTGCAAAGGATCAGGCTTGCTTGTAAAAGCTAGAAAACAAGGGCTTCCCTGGTGGCCCAGTGACTAAGAATCTGCCTTGCAACGCAGGGGACATGGGTTTGATCCCTGGTCAGAGAACAAAGATCCCACGTGTCGCAGAGCAACTACGCCTGCACGGCATAACAGGAGCGGCCGCCTGATGCAATGAGGAGCCCGTGTGCTGCAACTGAGACCCAGTGCAGCCAAACAGATTTTTTTTTTAAGTTGGAAAATAACTGGAGTCCTAGCCCATGCAGCCTAGATAGATCTGGCATGCCGTCTCCCAGGTACCTCTCTCCACTGCCTCTGGAAGTGCTGGATTCCTCAGAACCCAGAGGGCCACTGCGGCTGGATACCTGGAACGATGCCCTGCAGCAGTCTTCAAGGCCAGTCCAGCGACCACCTCTGCAGTAAAGCTCCCAGGGATTGGGCTCTCCTCGACCCCCTGGAACTCCCTACTACATGCCCCCCAGGACCCTGGTCTCAGCCACCTCAACTCTTACTTGTCTTCGGAGCCTCTGCACTGTCTCTGGACTAGACTGTAAGTTCCCGGAGGCGAGGAATGAATCCAACAGCCCTTCTCAGTCCTAGCACCAGCTAGAACAGTGCCCGGACACAGGAGTCTCTCCACAGACCGTCACGTTTGACGCTGATCCTCTAAACCAGTTCTCTCCCTTCTATGCGTTCATTTTCTCAAAGGCCGACTATGTGCCAAGCCACTTTTACCCACGTGAGCTCATCTAATCCTCCCAGCATCCCTAGAAGGGGAAGTTAATATTGTCCCCACTTTTGCAGGTGAAGAAACTGAGGCTCAGAGAAGAACTTACCTGCCTAAAGTCATACTGCCAGGACCACAGAGGTAGAACTAAACAGCTAAGTGTGTTTCACCCCAGAGCCCGGTCTAGCCGCTCTTTTTTTAACATACCGTGTGGTCTCATTTCTGCCTCCCGTTGTCCAAACTGTATCATCTCCCCAGATGCCCTTTCCACTTTGGCAACTCCTGTCCCTTCTTTTTTTACAATTAGCCATTTTGTTTTATTTATTTACTTACTTAAAAATCATTTATTTGGCGGTGCCAGGTCTTAGTTGTGGCATGTGGGATCTAGTTCCCTGACCAGGGATTGAACCTGGGCCCCCTGCATTGGGAGTGTGGCATCTTAACCACTGGACCACCAGGGAGGTCCTCTCCTTTTCCTTCGTCAAGTCTTGCCTTGGAGCAACATAGGAGGAGAGACACTGGGCACCCCCCACCCCCCCGGCCACTAAATGTAGGAGAGCATCTCGCCTGCAGTGTGGGCTAGGACAGATCTGGTAAGTGAATGACCAAATCACGGGTCCAGCAGACCTGAATTCTGCCATTTAACCAACTGTGTGGCCTTGGGCAAGTCTTACGATCTCAACTGCCACGTCTGTAAAATGGGCATGATAATAATGGCTTCCAGTCTCCAGGATGGCTTCTGGGATTAAAGGAGATTACACATTAAACCCTTAGCATAGTGTCTGGCATATGGTGAGTGAGCGTTAAATCTTAGCTACTTTTACCTTTTCAGTCAAAAGTCACTTTGAAAAGCCAGCTGGGCACTCCCAGGCGAATCAATCATCTCACCCTGGAACAAACCTCAGCTTCACCCGGTGTTATAATTACTTCCTCACCTTCCCTCCCCTTCAGGCAGAGGGACTCCATTTGGGACAGAAGCCCAGTTTTACTCCATCTGGCCATGCCCGGTGGAGCTGGCATACAGCAGGCGCTCAGGAAATGTCTGTGCATTGCACACACATGCAAGTACTAGGGTTGCATCTCTCTCAAAGAAACATCTCCCCCAGCAGCAGCTGCAAAGCAGACTTGAAGGGCAGCTGTTCAGGTGAGGGTTTGGGGTGAACTTGGCGGAGCAGACGTGCTCCTGAGCTCCGCTCCCCTGGTGTGGTGATTTGAGGTCGGGGAAGGGGAACTTAAAGGTGGGCGCCCACATTTGGAGAGGAGGCAGTGTGGGAGGAAGCCCCCCATAATAGCAGGGTTTCCCCTGCCCCCGGAGCTGGGCTAGAGGCTGCACTGCTTCCTCTGGGGCTTGCTCAAGCTTCCGGGGACCCTTTGAAGTGGGTTCCTTGCAAATCCTGCCCTTGGGGCCTGGATCAGGGGCAGAGCCTCTGGGTGGGGAAGGGTCGGGCCACAGTCCAGGGTGGGGAGGAATGAGATGTCTCACCCCTCAATGTTCCCAGGCACCCATCTTCTGCCCGCCTCCCACCCGGATTCAGAGCCCCGTTCCCGCCACACCCGACTCCCGGCCGAAGCTGCTCATTGCTTTTGGCCTTCTCTCCCCCAACTGGCCACAACCTCTCCCACTCCCAAGCCCAGTTTAGACCCCGCTCCCACAAGCCTTCCCTGACCCTGAACAGCTGGCCTTCCTCCCTTTTCTGGGGGCCAGTCTTCACCCCGTGTTTAAAAACGCCGAGGAAAAGCAGAGCCCATCTGTTGAGCCCCGCTTCTAGGCCAGGCGCTGACCTCAGAGCTTTGCAGCGCCACCTCAGAGACACACAAATGCCCTGAGAAGCAGGATTCTACCCCTTCTTTGGAGGAGGGCAAAGAGCTTCAGAAGGTTAGAGCTCCTGCTCAAGGTCAGGAGCGTCTTCAAAGCCGTGGGGGACGCCCATTTTCACCCCTACCTTCCCACCTGCCCTTGACGGAGTCACAGCATGGTCACTGGAGTCTTAAAAAATAAAGTCCAAGAGCTGTATTTTACAAAGGAGGGAACTGAGGCCGCCGAGGGGAAAGACCTGCTGGAGGTCACAGAGACCCTGAAGACTGGCCCCTGGCCCCTTCTCTGGAATCACTTCCCTCTTTTTTTTCTCTCTTTTTTTTTTTTGGCCGCTCCCCATGTGGGATTTTATTTCCCCAACCAGGGATCAAACCCATACCCCCTGCAGTGGAGGCTGTGGAAGCCTGGAGTCTTAACCAGCAGATCCCCAAGGAAGCCCCACTAATCACTTTTCTTGACCTTTAGAGGCTCTCAGCTGCAGGCAAGAGCTCATCCCCTTTGCAGGAACTGAACCTGGATACAGGAATCAGGCAGCCCTGCCCCAGGGCTTTTGCACCTACTTCTCCCTTAACCGGGATCACTCCCTCCCCGGTTAGTCTCCAGGGCGGGCTCCCTGCCTCCTTTACCTGAAGTGTCCACAGAAAACAGCAGGAGCCACCCACCCCTGGACGCCCTACTTCCCTTCCTCCCTGCGTTCTTCCTTTTCCCCTTCTCACTCCTCTCCCGCTGAGCACTCTGCATGTCATTGTGGATTAGCCGGTCGTCTATCCCCCACCCCCACTGGCACGCCAGCTCCCTGGGGGCCTGATGCAGCCCACCTCCCTCTAGGGGTCCCCCCAACAGGCTGGCCTGCAGCTGTGTGCGGGGAAGGAGCCCATGTGGTGGCTTTACCGCACCGTGTGATCTTGGCTAGCCACTTCCGTCTCTCCCTCACTTTCCCCGTGCGTACTTTGGGGGGTACCAGTGGCTCCCCCTCTTAGAGAGGTGTGAATATGGTCCAGGCTACCATCTGCTGCTCAGCCACGCCCAGAGGCCCAGGCTGAATTCCGGAGACAAGGATCAATGGGACTAAGTTGGGGGGGGGGGATCCTGCCACTGCTGAAGCTGGGGTGACCAGGGGACCCCTGGCTCTACCTAAGCTCCAGGGTCCTCTCCTGTGGCCCTTAGGTGCTCTGACCTGCCAGGTGCTGTTCCTACATTATCCTGTGTCATCCTCACAACAGCCCCTGCGAGCAGCATGTTTCCCATTTCACAGACAAGGAAACTGAGGCTTAGACAAGGAAACTGCTCAAGTCACACAAGTGTGCAAAGCCGGGACCCATCAGGCTCCGTGACCCCCGGCGTTAACCCAGGGGCCCCCGGAGGTCACTCCCGTCCTCTCTCTGGCCTGGCCAGCTCCCTGCTCTGTGTCCTGAGGGTCCTCTGTGCGGACGTGGCGAGGGCAGCGGCTGGAGAGGGGCTGAGGGTGCCCTGCTGGCTTCCCGCAGCCACCACCTCCCGTGAGAGCATCTTTCTCCTTGGTCAAGTGGGGATAAATATAAGACAACACCCACCTTGTGTGTGACCAACTCTGGCACACGGCCTGGCACACAGTGGGTCTTCGGCAAATGTCAGCCGGGGTTATTTTTTTCGCTGACACCATTTTCGGGGGCACAGCCCCTTTCAAGTGCCACTCCCTGCCCACGTCCTGTCAGTCCGGCTGCAGACCTGGTGGAGGAAGGGAGGGATGCTGCTCTGTTTATTTCGGAAAACCTCCAAGCCTGACCCCAGCCCCTCCCCCCGCCCCCCACAACACCGACAGGCACGCAGGGCCCCGTTCCCCGGAAGCCCTGCCTGAAGTCCCCTGCCCACCGTGCCCTGGACAGACCCAGCAGGGCCCTGTCAGTCCCAAGGGAAGGGCAGGGAGCCCGCACTTTGGGCCTCTGTCCCCGCGTCCGGCACCGGGCCTGCGCCTCACAAGTCCGCACACACACCGACCAGTGCTGGAACGCAGCCACGGCCCCGCCAGCACCGCAGAGCACTGAACGCGCGCGCACACCCCCGTCCAGGCACGCAGCTCCAGAGGGCTCGGCAGAGACCGCCTGGGGCAGGACAGGAGCTGCTCCCCTCCCCCACCCGCCCACCCCAGGCCCCGCTGTCTGTACGTCTGTCTGCAGCCAGCCCGGCAGTGAGAGGTCCACCCTCACCAGTCCTGTGCATCGTCACCACTGCAGCCCCCCAGCAGAAGCCTGTCCCTTCTCTCATCAGGGCCGCTCATCACTCGGCCCTGCCCCCATCCACCCTCCCCAACCCCGTATCCGCCTCCCTCATCTGTCAGTTTGTCTGTCCATCTGTCCATCCCACTTCCTTCTTTCCCCTATCCTGGTCCCTCTCAGTCCTCTGTGTCCCATCCATCACTTCCCAGACAGCCCTTCCCAGCCAGGCAGTCACCTCCTGGCAGCTCCTGTCTGTCTGTCTGTCCACCAGCCCATCCATCCGTCTGCCTGCCATCTCATTCATCACGCCTCAGCCACCTGTCCAAACTTGCCACCATTTGCATGTTTCCCCGGTTGGACCCCCTGCGGTGCCCCCAGCCAGCTCTGGGTATGGTGAGTGAGTTTGTGTGTGTGTGTGTGTGTGTGTGTGTGTGTGTGTGTGCGGCCACACACATGCTCACACGGGTAGATAACCTCCAAGACCCCTGATATGCATTGTGCTGGATCTTGTGCTGAGAGTGAGGGGACTAGGGACTTGGACACAACCCTGCCTTGAGAGTGTGTGTATGTGTGAGTGTGTGTGTGTGTAAACCGGGAAGGCTGGTGTGGACCTGGGTGGTGGTTGGCTCTTTTACTGTGTATTCTTCCTGTGTAACTGCAGTTACAACGTATGCTTCAGTGACCTATTCAAAAATAAATACATAATTTGAAAAAAAAATCCAATCTCTAGTCTTGTCTCCTGATTTCTCAAGAGGAAGCGGACCAGTGCCCCCGCCTCTCGGGACTGGGGGCCCAGGGGCCCCCAGCCCTGGAGCCCTCCACCCTGCCCATCAGGGGCTCGCCCTGCTCCCCGCGGCCGGAGATGGGGCTAGCGAGAGAGGCGGGCACTGCGGGAGAGCCCGGGCGGCCCGGAAGGCGCGCGGGGAGGGGGGCGGGCCGGGGGCAGCGTCGGCTCCAGCCCCCCGGGGCGGGCGCTCACCTGCCGGCGGGAGGGGCGGGGGGCTCGGGGCCGGCAAGCCCAGCCCGGTCCCGCCGCGCCCCGTCTCGCGCCCCGCAGCCCGGTTCCGGCCCCGCGGGTGCCGCCTTTGAGGGTCGCCGCGGGCCAGGCACAGCCGGCCTGAGCCCCCTTCCCCGCTTCTGCGCCCCGCAAAGGGGTCGGCGCCCG